AGATGTAAAATGGAATTGTTGACTCTTGAACCCAAATTAAAAAAGAAAGAGCCTCAACTATTTGAACCAGAATCAGATATGGAAGAGGAATGGATAATCAAGCATGAGAAACAATTGATGGAAAAAGAACATTTGGCAATTATGAAAAAATTCAAAAGAGATAATGACTTGTTAAAAATATTGGCAATCAGTACTTCATACCTTTTGGACCACGCAAAAGAAATAAATGAGTCTAAAATGAAAAGCTTACAGAAGAAGGGAAACCACATAAGCCTGAAGACTATCTTAAACAATTATTAAAGGACATCAACGAAAAAGAGAGTGAGTTGAAGAATGAATGGAAATCTGGCAAAATCAATCCTAAAAAAGGACAAACAAGTGAAAAACTCTGGATCCAAATAGAAAACTTGGCAGAATGTATCAAAACCACCAAATTGTTGAAAAATGATAAAGAAGACAATATGGCAACTGCACTGGTACATCAAAAGTTAATTATTTAGACCTGCTTATTTCTATAGCATGGTGCAAAAAGTACAAAGTACTATTTCTAAGATTTTTAATGAAAAATTCCAATGGGAATTAAACATGGATGCATATTGGGTGAGTATTTTTTTTTTTTTAATTAATTTGATTTTATAACAACATATTTAAAATTATTTTTACTATTTTATAGGAGTTTTAGCCATTATGTAGTGATTTTTAATTTTGGCTATTTTTTAGTGAATTTTGTACATTGTGTTTGGTATTAATCTCCTCCCAGTGGAAAGAAGAATAAAATTTTTTATTGTGGACTGAAAAATTGCAAAAAAAAAATCATATCCGAATTCAAGGGCTGAAAGTTTTATATTTATAAATTTTACTTAATATTAATATTAAATTAAAAAAAAATGAATTTTTTTTTTTGTCACTTAACCCATAAAAAACTTTTTGGATAAGTTCTTTATCAAGTGATTACTTTTTCTTTGTTCTATGTTTATTGAAATTAATATATGTATTTTTTCATCAGAAAATAAATTTTTGTCATATAATATTATATATGTGCTAAGATCCAGAGCATGAAAATTAAATTGAAATAATCCTTTTTTAAAAAACCAACAATCAACAAAGTTTGATTTCCAAGATAGAAGGCTAAGACAATTAATTATTGTTGAGCAAAGTTGTCCATTTAAACCATAAGAAAGGTGGGAAGAATGTGTTTTTGATGATTTATCCAAGAATTTTTTAAGGCAGTTTTTCACTCTGAAAGCTGTTGGTAGAAAATACAATTAATAAAAATAAGATTATATATTAATAATGAATACATGAACTTCCAAGTTAAAACTTACAGCCCTTTTAAAATTGCTTTGTAAAAATAAATAAATTCTTCCATCTCTGAAAAATCTCTTGGAACTGCTGCATTATCAATTTCTTTATATAATAATGTCCTATATTAACAATGCAAGATTAAATCTTTGTGTAATTAAATCCATGATAATTCAATTTCAACAAGATTTACCTGCAAAACCAAGAACATATATGTGTATGTTAAGCTTTACACTAGCAGCCCCAAAAACCTCCATTTCTGGTATCATTGCCTTCCTTTTCTCTACTCGGTCCTTAACTATATCAAAAAACATTTTTTTAAGATTTCTGGCTATTTTGATTTTATCTCCAATTTCTTTTGTTCTTTAACATTATAAGGACGTGATCCTTCTACATATATCATTTGGTATTTATTTGAATCTATAGTAAAACCAATGCTGTCTCCTCTTTGACCTTTTATGTGATGAATTGATGGGGTTTCTCCATATTAAATTTTGCAAAAAAAAAAAATAATTAACATGACAAAAAAAAATATCAATCTTGTTACAATATAAGAAAACAACAGGAGATAACTTACAAGGTATAATGTACTTCAGTACAATACCATAAAGCTGCTTTTAGACATGGATGTACATAATCATTTAGATGAGGTTGTTCCAGGGTTGTTACATTATGAAGTGG